TTAAAATATAATTAAACTTAAATCTTATTTATATTTATATTTTATATCTTAAATATAGTCTAATATAATTAAATTATATTTAATATATAACTAATCAGTTTTAGAATATCTTAATTAGTTAATTTTTAACTATTAGATAATATAATATATTAATAATATATTAGATAATAGATATATATATAGAATATAGATTTTCTATTTAATAATATAAATTATAATATATAAAATTATATAGAGATTTATATAGTATTTTATCTTTATATCTATATCTGTATTTTTTAACCATTTTGCTTAAAACAGTTAACCGTCAGGTTAAAAAAGTCCACTCTAAATATAATTAAAAAAGAAATTAATATTTGTTTTATTATTATTTTTATAATAAAAAATATATATAAAAATATATAATTATTACTTTATTTTAGCTATATATTTTAATTATATTATATAAAATACTAGAAAAACTATATATTAATTATTAATTGAAATATTAGAAATAAATATATTATTTTTATTTTATTATTTCTTCTGGATCAAGCTATTTTTAGATTTATAAATAAAATATAACTTGAAGAGTTATTAATAAAATTAAAAATAAATAAATAATTAAGAAGATTATAAATAATTAAACTATTAAAATAAAATAGATTAAATAGATTAAATAGATTAAATAAATTAAATAGATTAAATAAATTAAATAGATTAAATAAAATAAATAAATAAAATAAATAAATAAAATAAATAAAATATACTAGATCTATATTATAATATTATAACTTTTATAAAAAGTTTTATAAATTCTTTTATAAATCTTTTTTATAAATATCTATTTTTTATTCTAGTTTATTATATCTTAAGCAGCTTTATTTAAAAAAAATTATTTTATAATTTTAGATTTTAGATATAAATTTTTATTTATTAAATCTACTAAAATAAATAAAATATAGCAGATATCTTAGCTATATATTAAAATATAATAAATTATATTTATATAAAATTATATCTTAAAATAAAATAAATTATTTTTATAAAATTTTCTGCTTTTATTTTTTTATATTTATTATTTATAAAATAATTTTAAAATTATAAGTTAATTATAATTATCTAATTTATTTTTAAAAAATATTATTAAGTTTTTTTCTTCTATTTCTCAGATTTTTATAAATTATAATAATATTTAAATTAAGATAAGTTTTTTAAATTAGATTTTTTTAAATCTTAAGATTATATATATTATAAAGAATTAAAAGATTATTTTATATTTAATTTTTTAAAAAAAGCTTTTTATCTTTTAAGATTAATAATAAAAATAATCTTTTTTAAAGATTATATATAAATTAAAAAATTATTATTTTATTTTAGTCAGAAAAAATTATTAATAATATAAAATAATTTTTAGAAAAATATATTAATTTTTAATAAAACTTTTTATATTTATTATATTATATATTTTTAGATTTTATAATATTTAAGAATTAAAAACTCAGAAATTAGTTTTATAAGTTATTATTTTTATAAAAATTATAAAAAGAATTATTATTAATTATATCTAAATAAATAATTAGTCAGATATCAAATAAAGTATTATTATAAATATTTATTTATTTTTTTAAAATAAATCTTTTTTAATTATTGTTTTTTTCTAGATTTTTATAATTTATAATAAACAGGATTTTTAGAATTAAATTTTATATTTTATAATTATTTATTATCTATTATTCTAAACTATTAAATATATTTAATTTAAATAAATAAATAATCTTATTATTTTATTTTTTATTAAAAATTAAGTTCTTCTAATTAAATATAAATTAAAAAATATTTTATAAAATTATCTAAAAAATATATATATACAGCTGCTATTAAAATTTCTAGATATTAAATAAATATTAATTATAATAGATTACTAAATTAATTCTAATTAAAAAATACTTCTTAATTTAATTAAATATTTTTTAATAAAAGATATAAACTATTATAAACTTTTATTAAATCTTTAATTAATATTTAAATTTTATATTAATAAAACTCTAGTTATAATTATTCTATTAATCTTATATAAATATAATCTTATTTATTAATTATTAGATATAATAATTAATAATATTAATAATAATAATATAATATTTAGTATAATCTTAGCTAAACTTTAAATTTAACTTAATTAAAATATTTAGTTTTATAATATTTTAATTAATTCTGATTTTTTAAAAATTATTTAAAATTAATATTATATTCTCTATTTTATTTCTATAATTTAGCTTATAATTAATACTCTTTTATAAAAACTTTAGATTAAGATTTTAAATAATATTATTAAATATATATAAAAAAATAATAATAAAAATCTTAAAATCTTTTTTAATATTTTAAAATCTTTTAAAAAAATATATTCTAAAAATTATTTATAAAAGATTAATATAAAATCTTTTTTTATAAAAAGCTTTTAAAAATCTTCTATTAGCTAGTTTATTATATTAATTTTTAATTATAAATTTAGAAAATTATATAATTTATAAATATAAGTTTTTAATATTATAAGAAATTTTTATTTATTTAATAACTTAAATCTAATTTAATTTATTATTTTTTTTTTAATTATAAACCCTGCTGGAACTTAATCTATTTTATAATTTATTAAATATTTAATTTTTATTAAATAAATAAAAGTTTTATTTAGTATTATAAGTATAATAATATTAATTATCTTTATTTTATTATAATTAAATAAAAATAGATAAAATATCTTCTTAAGTTTTTATATATTTTTTTTTTATTTTCTATCTCTCTGAGAATAGTAAATTTATTATTTATAAGATTTATAATATCTATAATAATCTCTTTAATTATCTAAATTATTTAATTAATAGACTAAAAAGAAAACAGATATTCTAAAAAAAAAAGATTTTTAAAAATTTATATAATATATATTAAAAGCTCTGAAAGTATTATTATTATATTTATTAAATAAAAAATTATATTTATATAATTATAATTATTCTAGATCTGATATTAAAACTTAAAAAGTTTAAAAAAAATATATAATTAAATAATAATATTAACTAATATTATAAATATTAAATTATTTTTAAGAAGATATTCTCTTTTTATTTTAATTAAAATTTAATAATTAATATATTATTAATAGTCTTTAGATTATTATTAAATCTAAATAAGATTTTTTATAATATTTTTAAATATCAGAAACTCTTATTTATAATTAAGATATATAAAAAATTTAAAATATATCTAAATATTAAAAATATATAGCTTTTTAAGATAATTTTAATTAAATTAATATAATTTTAAATATTATAAAATATACTAATATTCTTATTTATTAAAAATTTTATTATAATTAATTTTTTATTCTTTATTAAATAACTAGAGATTTTCTTTTAATTATAATTAATAATATTAATATTAAATATTTTTTTAATAATTTTTAAAATATCTACTACTATTATTAGAGCTGTCTTAATCTTAATATAATTAAAATAATTATATTTTAAATATATACTAATTATTTTATTATAAATAAAAAATATTAGAATATACTTAATAATCTTAATCTAAATTTAATTATTTTTATATTTAAAAAGTAAGAGAAGAATAAGATAATTATTATTTTTTATATTAATAAAAATAAAAATATAAATAATTTTAAAAATAATTTAGAAAATAAATTATTATAAAAATTAAAAGAATTAGTTTTATTTAAATTTTTAATTATTATATATACTTAGATAGAAATAGAGATCTAATTTCTATAATTTTTATATTATTATAATTATTATTCTAAATAATATAAAAAATAAATATTTTATATCTTTTCTTATTTTTTTATATTAAATTTTATAAAAATCTTTTTCAAAGTATAATATATTTTTTAAAATAACTAATTAAGCAGATTAAATAATAGATTATATCTAAAAAATATTATTATATTTATACTATAATTAAATATATATTATACTTTATATATTATCTATATAAAAAGAATATATATATTATAAATTAATTTATAATTATTAATCTATTTATTATATCTGATTTTTCTAATTAGCAGATATAAATAATTATAATAATAATTATATCTTAATCTAATCTTAATTATATAATTAAAAATTTTTTATATCTTAATCTGACTATTAGATTATGGCCAGATTAAGATTAAGATATAATAATCAGGTTAAGCCACTCTAATATAAATATAAATAGAATTTATATTTAATTATATTTTAAAAATATTAATATACAGTAAAATATTTATTCAAATATAGATTTTAAAAGCTTGGTTTTTAACCTGTTTTTCAACCAAAATCCACTCTAATTATAACTCTAAGAAGTATTTTCTTTATTTTTATTAATAATCTATATCTATATCTTAGACTATATATAAGTAAAGTTAAAAGTATCCAGAAGCCTCTACACCCCTGAGAATCCACTTCACAGAATAAATCTCTGTGATTAATTACTTATAAGATATATAAATAAAATATAAAGACTAGTATTTATTATTTAAAAAATTAGATCTAGTATAATAATTATTAAACAGCTAGTAATCAGCAGCTATTAAAAATTATTATTTTCAAAAGAATTAAAACTATTCAGATTATCTGTATATACTTAACAGTCTAAACAAGTATCATAAATAAATATAATAGACAAATATAATAGATAAGTATAATAAATAATTATAATTAATAAAGATATAAAGATTAGATAGAGATCTTGATAAATAATATAAAATAATAAAATAATTAAGACAGATTATTTTAAAAAGTTTTAAAAAGCTTATATATATATATATATATATAAATATAAATTAATACTGATTTTAAGTAGAATATTTTCTGCCTACTAAGATAATAAAGTAAATATTTTTTAAATAATTCTATAGCTGATTACTAGAGGCAGGCCGTCATACCTAATTTTAAATTAAAATATTAATAGTAAATGACTGTTGCAGAAGGTCTCTAATCTGATATGCATTCCACATGCTCAAATGCTTGGCTTGTCCTACCTTTAAATACATCTTCCCCTACTAGATAGTTATGACTCTTGACGCCTTTTTTTACTAGGGACTAATGTGGATAGTACATGCCTCCTTTTCATTTTTTGCCAATGAACCTGCCTAAACATCATACAAGGGCCACTACCACCATGCCGCTTCTTCCAACCGAAGCAGATGCTTCTTTTCCCACAACCCCTGGCATAAGTAAACGAAAGAGAGATCCAGTCCCAACAGAAGTTATCACTCCATCAACAGATAAGTAGGTAGCAGGGAATCAACTAAATGAACCATCTCTTGTTACCCAACAGTTCTCTGCAAAGGCAGCTAATGTGTTGTTGTGGACCATCAGGCTCAGTCCTTCTTCCATTCACTATCTGAACACGCATTTTTGTATAGACTATCCTGGGCTTTCCAGAGATAATGATAGTGGAGAAACTCTGGTTCGCCCCCGATATCTTTCCAAGAAACACCGACTTTTTCAACAATCATCCACTCGTCACAAACAGTCACTTTCGGATAATCTTTCTCATTTGTTACACCAAGCAAAGATTTCATCTCCAGCCTTAGTTACCCCTACAGCCTCAAAGACATATTCTCCGCCAGTATCTCCTAAAACCGTTTCATCTAGCCTATATCAACATCAGCAAAGTGTCTGTGTGTCTGCAGGATGCCTACGCCCATGCCACATTTGTCACCGGAGACCAACAACCCGTGAATTTATTGATGCATATGCGGATTGTGACTTGTGCGGCCAAAGGAGCTGCTACATCTGTCTCCGCTATTGCGACGCCACCAAGTGCACCGGATTGATAATGCTGTGTGAAAACTCACTCAGTAACCTGCAATTGGATTTCAATGATAACAGATCACACCCAAAACAACCTCGGAAGATTTGCTCCACATGTGCCGTCGAAGGTGTGACTGAATCAGGTACAGAAGTGATACGATGTCTTGAATGTGTGCGAGGCTCCCCTCTTCAATAACAGGGTGCTCTTCCACACTTTCGGGAACACTGCGACCGCCAACATTATGTGGACATCAAGATGGGCCTTCGCTGCAATATTTATAGGATGGAATCTGCCCGAACACACCAGGCGCCCAGAGGACATTGAAGTGTGGTCCTTATGTATCATTTGCAGTCTGCAAGTACAACAGTGTCTAAGCCATGCTGGTGGCCAATTGAACTGCCGCATAACATAGTCTCGGCCGGTCATCCTACATCAACATTGTCAACAAGAGATTCCGCATCCCTTCAAAATTACAAGCCTGGACAAAGTGCACATACTGGTGACGGCGATAATAGGCATTATAATTTACATGGGATTAATGGGATCACTACTTAGTATATTGCAACCTTTACTATGCAGGCTACTATAAAGTACTGAAATAGCGTGTGGATGACAACGTCTCATTATTCAGCTTGCTGCAATACTAAAAAGTATCATTGAACTAATAATTGGAGTACATGATACCAAAGTCTTATCCACAAATTTGCGGGCTACCTTCATCGGCCGAACCTCATCTGAGCACCGGCGTAATGCCACAGGCCCCTGAGGAACCCGTGATATTCAACGGCCTCGTCGGCGATCGCTATCCCACTACTTCTACCGCCAGTACAGAACATTTCTGTAAGCCGAATATGCCAGGGTGGGTATCCATCCAGCTTCAAGAACGGACCAAAAACTAGGAGAAGGTCAGGTTCAGGCTTCACAGGCAAGATAAGCTGATTAGGGGCCCTCGTGGCACCGTCAACCGACACCGTTGTAGTGGGCCGTGTGGTAATCTCGCTGATTTCGGCATCGACCAGTTCCAGAGTTATGTGTTCTGGTAATAGTTTACCACTCTGGGACATTTCGGCCAACGTTTTGGTCAAGTCAACAAAAGTTTCCCGACCATCGGTCGCAGACAAGAGAAGCACCGTAAGAGTAGTGGGATTTCCCTTATTTGACAACGCCACACCTTCTGGCTGTTTAAATATTGGATGATGAGGAGCAAATAGCTGCAGAGTTGGTTGCTGCCCCGGGGTACCGTAGTAGGAGGACAGCTTGCTGGTCATGATATGATGAAGGGTGGGGATGCTGGACTTTAAAATCCCTATTAAATTTATCAGCCTTAGCCCTTGTACCTCCTTTTTGTCCATGCCATTTTCTCAAACTCCCATTGAAGGTCCCGTGTCCAGGTTTTGCTTACCACTCCTTTCATATATGCTTAGAACAGGTATCCCGGAACTCACGGTCCAAGCCGCAAGCTCTGCCACTTCATCCATCAAGATCGCTAAGGCGTCATCCTCCTTGCGCAATGACAGAACGACGCTCAAATGCCCGGGGAGGCGTTTCAAGCTCGTCACATCCTTTCGAATTAACTGTGGCGTTCTGTGATGGTAGTAGATGATGGCAAAGATCCGATCCACAACAGCATGGTAGCTTTGGAAGAGTCGAATGACAATGCCATATAGAACATGAAGAATGGCATAAGTAAGTAGATGTAGCTGCGATTTAATAAAGCTTCGTATTGGTGTTTTCCGCGGAATCTTTTTGCGCCGCTGAGGCGCCCGGCTTGGAAGATCTGCTGGATCTGGCAGATATGGGTTCAAAATTTTCTCGCGATCGACAGCACTGAGCCTTGTTCCTCGAGAACGAACATCATCTCTAAAAAGCTCTTTATCACGTTGAGAGACCATTTTTCAGTAGTACCTGTGGCTGCGTTGCGCACGGCGTAGACGGGTTCTTTGCTTTTATATTATTGTAAGGGGGGGGACTCCGAGTCGGTGGTGCTGGCGGTGGGTCTTGGTATTCGGAGGACTGCAGACTACCGCATAAAATTGCCATCAGTCATTATGGCATGTTTATTGTTCATCTTCATTAGAGTGGATTTTGGTTGAAAACCAGGTTAAAAACCAAGCTTTTAAAATCTGTATTTAAATAAATATTTTACTATATATTAATATTTTTAAAATATAATTAAATATAAATCTTATTTATATTTATATTTTATATTTTAAATATAGTCTAATATAATTAGATTATATTTAATATATAACTAATTAGTTTCAGAATATTTTAATTAATTAATTTTTAATTATTAAGTAATATAATATATTAGTAGTATATTAGATAATAAAAATATATATATAATATAGATTTTATATTTAATAATATAAATTATAATATATAAAATTATATAAAGATTTATATAATATTTTATCTTTATATCTATATCTATATTTTTTAATTATTTTGCTTAAAACAGTTAATTGTTAGATTAAAAAAATCCACTCTAATCTTCATGCTCTATGCAGTATAAATAGAAATATCAAGCTATGATATAATTAATATATATAGTATATATATATAAAAGATATTTATATAATAAAAAAATAATTAAAATTCTTTTTAAAATTTATATTAATTAATCTATTTTCTCTTAACCTTATTATATATATTGAATATATATTACATATAACTTATACAAATATTTTATAGATATTAGTAAATTATTAGATTAAAAATTTATATAAAAGTTTTTTTTATATATATTAAACATATATTTATATATATATTATTAGTATATATAATTTAATTTATAAAGATAATAGATCTGCTGTTAGGGGCAGAAGTAGAACCCATAAGCTATGGAGAACTAAGTCTGTATATATAAGAAGAGATAACTAGTATTAAAAAGATAATTCTCAAGAATTTAATAATTTTATATATATAAATAACTCAGTAGATTTTAATTTAATAGAATAAATTAATTAAATTAAATAATTTTAAAATATATTTTATAGTATGATTTCTCTCTTAGAAATCTGATTAATAATTTTTATTTATCTATTTTAATCTTATATTCTATTTTATAATAATTTTATTAGTAATTTAATCTTAATATTATTTTTAATTTATTCTGATTTTATTTCTGACTTATATTAGTCTTATTTATATTTTAATCTTAAGTATTAAAATTGAGCCTGGAAATGTAAATACTTAATTTTTTTTATACTTTTCTTATCTAGCTGGCTTAAGAAAAGAAATAATAATAATAATTATTACTTCTTAGATTAATAAGAATATAATAATTACAGATTTATTAGTTTTTAATATTATCTTATTTTTAATATTAAGACAGAGTATAGAGAGATATAAATATCTAGTTTTTTTAGAGTGGCTAACAGCCAGGTCAGGTCAGGTTAATTAGAATTTTTATACCTAACCGCCAGATTATAATCAGATTAAGAAAATTTTTATATCTGATTATAATATAACTAAAAACTAGATAATTAATTATTTTAATTATTCTTAGTATTAAGATTTATTTATTATATCTTTTTAAACTCTAGTATAATTAAGATATATCTAGATTAAATAATTATTAATCTAATTATCTTTATTATTATCTAAAAATATATAAAAAGAAGCTTTTTAGATTAAAAAAATATAACTAAGAAAGAAATTAATATCTTTTTTATTATTATTTATTAAAAATAATAAGAAAATTCTAGTTATATTAATAAAATTTAGTTTTTTATAAAATTATTATTCTTATAGCAAAAAATATATATATAAATATATAATTATTATTCTATTTTAGGTATATATTTTAATTATATTATAAAATATTAGAAAAATTATATATTAATTATTAATTAAAATATTAAGAATAAATATATTATTTTTATTCTATTATTTCTTCTAAATCAGACTATTTTTAGATTTATAAATAAGATATAGCTCGAAGAGCTATTAATAAAATTAAAAACTAATAAATAATTAAAAAGATTATAAATAATCAGATTATTAAAATAAAGTAGATTAAATAGATTAAATAGATTAAATAAATTAAATAAATTAAATAGATAAAATAAATAAGTAGAATATATTAGATTTATATTATAATATTATAGTTTTTATAAAAAATTTTATAAAAATCTTTTATAGATTTTTTCTATAAATATCTATTTTTTATTTTAATTTATTATATCTTAAGCAGCTCTGTTTAAGAAAAGAGACTATTTTATAATTTTAGACTTTAGATATAAATTTTTATTTATTAAATTTATTAAAATAAATAAAATATAGCAGATATCTTAGCTATATATTAAAATATAATAAATTATATTTATATAAAATTATATTTTAAAATAAAATAAATTATTTTTGCAGAGTTTTCTGCTTTTATTTTTTTATATTTATTATTTATAAAATAGCTTTAGAATTATAAATTAATTATAATTATTTAATTTATTTTTAAAAAATATTATTAAGTCTTCTTTTTCTATTTCTCAGATCTTTATAAATTATAATAATATCTAAATTAAAATAAGCTTCTTAAATCAGATTTTTTCTTCTTTTCTAAATCTTAAGATTATATATATTATAAAGAATTAAAAGATTATTTTATATTTAGCTTTTTAAAAAAAATTCTTTATTTTTTAGAATTAATAATAAAAGATAATCTTTTTTAAAGATTATATATAAATTAAAAAATTATTATTTTATTTTAATTAAGAAAAATTATTAATAATATAAAACAGTTTTTAGAAAAATATATTATTTTTTAATAAAATCTTTTATATTTATTATATTATATATCTTTATATTTTATAATATTTAAAAATTAAAAACTCAGAAACTAGTTCTATAAGCTATTATTTTTATAAGAATTATAAGAAGAAATTATTATTAATTATATTTAAATAAATAATTAATTAAATATTAAATAAAGAATTATTATAAATATTTATTTATTTTTTTAAAATAAATCTTTTCTAATTATTATTATTCTCTAGATTTTTATAATCTATAATAAATAGAATTTTTAGAATTAAATTTTATATTTTATAATTATTTATTATCTACTATTCTAAATTATTAAATATATTTAATTTAAATAAATAATTAATCTTACTACTTTATCTCTCTACTAAAAACTAAGTTTTTTTAATTAAATATAAATTAAAAAATATTTTATAAAATTATCTAAAAAAATATATATATAACTGCTATTAAAATTTCTAGATATTAAATAAATATTAATTATAATAAACTATTAAATCAGCTCTAATTAAAAAATATTTCTTAATTTAATTAAATATTTCTTAATAAAAAATATAGACTATTATAAGATTTTACTAGACTTTTAATTAATATCTAAATCTTATATTAATAAGAATCTAGCTGTAATTATTTTATTAGTCTTATATAAATATAATCTTATTTATTAATTATTAAATATAATAACTAATAATACTAGTAATAATAATATAATATTTAATATAATTTTAGCTAAATTTTAAACTTAACTTAGTCAGAGTACTTAGTTTTATAATATTTTAATTAACTCTAATTTTTTAAAAATTATTTAAAATTAATATTATATTCTCTGTCTTGCTTATATAATTCAGTTTATAATTAATATTTTTTTATAGAAACTTTAGATTAAAATCTTAAATAATATTATTAAATATATATAAAAAAATAATAATAAAAATTTTAAAGTCTTTTTTAATATTTTAAGAATTTTTAAGAAGATATATTCTAGAAGGTGTTTATAAAAGACTAATATAAAATCTTTTTTATAAAAAGCTTCTAGAAATCTTCTATTAGCTAGTTTATTATATTAATTTTTAATTATAAATTTAGAAAAGTATAGAATTTATAAATATAAATTTTTAATATTATAAGAAATTTTTATTTATTTAATAATTTAAATCTAGTTTGGTTTATTATCTTTTTCTTAATTATAAAATCTGCTGAAACTTAATTTATTTTATAATTTATTAAATATTTAATCTTTATTAAATAATTAAAAGTTTTATTTAGTATTATAAATATAATAATATTAATTATTTTTATTCTATTATAATTAAGTAAAAATAGATAGAATATTTTTTTAAATTTTTAAATTTTTTTTTTTTTATTTTCTATCTCTCTAAGAATAATAAATCTATTATTTATAAGATTTATAATATTTATAATAATCTCTTTAATTATCTAAATTATTTAATTAATAGACTAGAAAAAAAATAGATATTCTAAAAAAAAAAGATTCTTAAGAATTTATATAATATATATTAAAAGCTCTGAAAGTATTATTATTATATTTATTAAATAAAAAACTATATTTATATAATTATAATTATTCTAAACTTAATATTAAAACTTAAAAAGTTTAAGAAAAATATATAATTAAATAATAATATTAACTAGTATTATAAATATTAAACTATTTTTAAAAAGATATTCTCTTTTTATTTTAGTTAAAATCTAATAATTAATATATTATTAATAATTTCTGAATTATTATCAGATCTGAATAAGATTTTTTATAATATTTTTAAATATTAGAGACTTTTATTTACAGTTAAGATATATAAAAAACTTAAGATATATTTAAATATTAAAAATATATAGCTTCTTAAAATATTTTTAATTAAATTAATATAATTCTAGATATTATAAAATATACTAATATTCTTATTTACTAAAAATTCTATTATAATTAGTTTTTTATTTTTTATTAAATAGCTAGAGATTTTCTCTTAATTATAATTAATAATATTAATATTAAATATTTTTTTAATAATTCTTAAAATATCTACTACTATTATTAAAACTGTCTTAATTTTAATATAATTAAAATAATTATATTTTAAATATATATTAATTATTTTATTATAAATAA